AAAATGTTTTTTTCTTTGGAGAATGATGCACAAACCCATTACCCACCACAACAAGGATATTTAAATTGACTTAAAGAATTGTCAAATTAGTGAAATATATTTTTTAAAAATGTCCCAAAGTATTCTTTAAAAAAATGGTAAATGTTTCCCTGTCAGTTATGTCTGACTCTAGGGTGTGGTTATCATCTCCGTTTCTTGGCTGAGAGAGCCAATGTTGTCTGGAAATATTTTCTGTGGTCATGTGGCCAGCATGGCTATAAGCCAAAGGTGCACGGCGGAATGCTGTTACCTTCCCCACCGAAGTGGTACCTATTAATCTACTTGCATTTGCCTGGTAGATGGGTAGGAGCTGGTGCAAGTAATGAATTCTCACAAAGTATTCCTACTAAGACAAAAATGGCAATTCATTGGAATGACATAAAGATCATTCAATTAGGTTGTTTTCATAATACAGGGGGTCCTCAAGTTATAGTCAATCATTCAGTGACAGTTTGAAATTATGATTGTGCGGAAGGAAGGGACTTGCAACTGGTTCTCTAAGTTTGATAGGACTTTCTGATTTGGAATAATGAAGGAAAAAGCTGGGGAAATCTTGTCCTAGAAGATTTGAGGATTTTGAAATCTTTGAACTGGTGCAGAAAGACCTTAGGTGGACTCATTGTCACTAGGTTGTTCCTCTAGTCTAGCCACTAACAACTCATGTGGCAAAGACGACAATTTAGAATGCAAATGTATATCCCAGATGCTGTAGAAAGACCCTCTAATGTAAGGGCTCCTAAACGTTTTACTCTGAGCTTGCTTGTTTTCTTGCAGATGTTTCATTACCCAAACTAGGTAACATCATCAGAGCTAGCTATCAGGTATAGCCCTGAAGATATTACGTAGTTTGGGTAATGAAACATCTGCAAGAAAACAGCCAAGCTCAGAGAGCACCAAGGTCCCCTCAATTCAAACCCGAGCTACAAGTATTCTCCTTTATCAGTACAATGAAAACAATGCAATGGGAAAAGTGGATTTACGGTAATGTAAGTAAAAGATTATTCACACTTCTCCACACTCTCTGCACCTTCCAAGAGAACGGTTTGGGAAACCCTGCCCTACAGAGAGTTCTACACAAGGAAACTTCTTTCTGACTGAAGGGCATATTAAAATTTAGGGTTGTCTCCTTCCTTCCGTCTGGCATGGGAGCCATTTGCATTGCACACTGTGTTGTTTTGCAGCATCCCCTTCACATTTTTCAGTGCACACCTGGTGTTTGCCTAATGAAGTATTCTGGGGACAGCTTGGCTCTCCACTCAAACACATGGAAGTAGAAAATCAGGATTCTGGTAGAGCCTTTCATGACAAATTTTATTTAAAAGCCTAAGCTTTAGTGAGCTGTAACTCTTGTCATCGGATGCAAGAAGCGACTAGGCTGAAGTGGGATCCAAACAGTAATCTATAGCCTAAGTAACCTGCATCTGCATAACCAACCTGTCTTCTGCCCTCCCTCCCCGCCTTTCTATTTAAATGCTTCATCAGTCTAGCCATTTTATGCATCTGATGAAAACATAAAGTATGCCTTCTGTTTCTTTTGGTACCAAAACTAACATGGCTCTCTTCTGTAATGGCGCAGTGGTTAGAATGCAATAACACGGGCTAACTCACTGCTGACTGTCAGCAGTTCGATCCTGACCAGCTCAGGTTGACTCAAGGTTGACTTAGCCTTCCAAGGTCGGTAAACGCGGACCCAGATGGTTGGGGTCAATATTCTGACTCTGTAAACTTCAGCAGAGAGGGCTGTAGGTGCACACCAGAGTTATTATTGTTCGAGCCAGTTTTGCTGAAAACTGGAATAAATGCAGGTTTTCAGAAAAGCCATTGTTAAATGAGGTCACAGGAGCAAATGGCCATACATACGGTCTGGTTACTGAGTGCCCAAGGTCCAGTCCTTGGTCCCGGGGGGGGGGGGGGGGGGGGGGGGGGGGGCTGTTAGAGCTTCAAATCCAGATAGTAAGTACTCCCAAGGAAATACAGTGATAAGTGACCAGTTGTAAATCAAAGAGTACCCATACTTAAACCTGGAGCCAAGGAAATTTGCTTCTTCTCTAAACTATAATATTTCTGTTGTATACACACATTATAGATTACTGTATCCAAGTATTGTTGGTTACAGTTATAAATACAAGTAGTCCTCAATTTACGACCACAACTGAGCCCAAAATTTCTGTTGCTAAGCAAGACAGTTGTTAAATACGTTTTGCCCCATTTTATGATCTTTCTTGCCCCAGTTGTTAAGTGAATCACTGCAGTTGTTAAGTTCATAATTGTTAAGTGAATCTGGCTTCCCCGTTGACTTTGCTTGTCAGAAAGTTGCAAAAGGTCCATCAACAGATACCAATTGCCAAGCGTCTGAGTTTTGATCCCATGGCCATGGGGATGCTGCAGTGGTCGTAAATGTGAAAAATGATCATGTGACTTTTTTTCAATGCCACTGTAACTTTGAACAGTCACTAAATGAATGGTTAAGTTGAGGACTATGACTACTTGTACCTTAAAAAGCCAGTACTTGCAAAGATCCTATTTTTTTAAATCTAGCAACCAACTCTGCAATGACAGGCTCAGCTGAAGGGGAAACAGCACAGGATAAAGCTAGAGAGCACTATAGGTAGGTGAAAATTTGTAACACACTTGCTATCTCACATTCTGAATATAAATCCAGGACTCGGTCAAATGAACAAGACATAGAACAAGAAAGTCCTTTACATTCTGACAGGTCCATTTTTATTCATTAGAATAACCTCCCCCCTCCCGATCAGAAAAAACAAAGAATTGCCTGAATTTCAAATTGCACTTTCATAACAGTGTCTTGTATGAATCAGGGATCATAGTTTATTTCTGGCATGTTGATTTCCCACGTGACTTAGAAATGCCCATTGCATGTGATCATAGGAAAAAGAAACCAGATGGATTTACACTTCCACACCACCTGTCAGTTTCTCTAGACACCGATTGGATTTTTGGACTCCTTCAGAACTCGTTTCCACCTTAACATACATTTATATCCCCTCGGAACTATTGATATGGTGCTGCGCCAAACAAACCCTCAAACCACAATTTCAGCCACAAAGGGGGTGTGGGAGGCAAACTTTGCACTAGGGGGGCAGCCTCTCTTTGAAAAGAGCTTAAGGCAAGCACATAGAAACCACAATCAGTGTAACCCCAGACTGGAAAAACAGCAAACACTGCACTTCTGTTACCTGTATAAATAGAATCCAGCTCAAGACACCTGATATTCAACTAAACGTTTTAGCAAGAACTTGAAAAATACTTCCTATATCTGCCTTAAGTTTTTCATTAGATCTCAGACAATAGTAGAAGAAAAAAATGAACGCTTGAGGTATTTAAAGCTACAAAATACTGGGGCTTAAAGAATGCTGCAAAGACAAGAGACACCGCTATCACATCTAGAAATTGTATTTATTTATTTATATCCTGCCTTTATTATTTTTAACAATAATTCAAGGATTTAATAAACGTGTGCATTTTTTCTGCATAAATTTTAAGGCAGAATGGATTATTAAAAACTATCAAAAGAACACAGTAAGACAAATTCTTGGAGCAACTAGCTTCAAAATCAGTACCTGTGGTGTCAGTTTTCTACGTTTCTAGGTTCAGAAACTACTGTCCAATCTTTCTTCTTGCTAATAGCAAACCTGGTTCCATAGGCATCTAATAAAACATCCATGTTGTTCCCTTTCAAACAGTAGGGAAAGTTTTTCAACTTCTCAGACTAGCTCATAGCACTGGCAGATTCCCAGTCCAAGAATTAATCAAAGGCATGTTCTCTGATGTCAGATATGTTCTGCTAATTATTTGTCCTATTTATACATCAGTTTGGAATAAGGTACAAAGGGCTCTCGGTGATGGGAGGAGGAGTATCCTCTTTGTCAACTCATAAAATATTTCTATGGTCTTTTTAGAGTTGCCAACAGAAAGGGAGGGGGAGCAGTGCAGCTGCTTGCAAACCAAAACTGCATTCCATGTTTTCAAAGATGATAACTAGGTGACCGAAGTTTCTGCCATGCAAAATTCTAACTGGAGAGCATGATTGGCTATGGATGTATCCCACTGGGATACATGAATTACGATACACCCCATTCTGGAGTGGAGGAAAACCAGGGTCAAGGGTGACAATGAATTATGTGTCTCAGAGTCGGCTACACCCAGGCAATGCCACAACAGTTTAATTCCCAATAAATCCTTTTTAAGTTTTGGAAGATTAGCTCGAGACCCATGATTTAAATGGAGGTAACTTGTGTAGACAGTTTTCCAAATATTCAGAAGGTAGAAGCTTAGAAATCTCAAGGATAAGCTGAGAAATCTAATAAAGATCAGTCCACAGCAAAGAGCTGAAAAAAGCAGAGAAACCAGAGTATAACCTTTCTAGTACCTATACCAGTGATGGCAAACCTGACATGTGCGTCAAAGCTAAGATAGCATTTTGGATGACATACCTGTGTTCATTAACACCTGACAATAAATATTCTCAAAAGCACGCCCTGTTTTTGAGTGATTTTTCGAAGGTTAAAGAGACCAGTTGGGAATGGGATGTGCTCCCTTACAGCCTTCAGAACCACACACAAGAGGGGTGTGTTCTCGCACAGCATAAGGAGCCTCCAAAAATTGTGAGAATGGGGTGTGCTTTCGCATGGTTTTCAGAGGCTGAAGAGAATTTTTCAAAATGGCTTCAAGAATAAAGGCCTTGTGCAACCCAGAGCAGCCCCAGATAGGCCAGAGGGGCTTGTCAACAGAAAGAGAACCCCATTTGAAGATAAGCAACGCACGGCAGATCCTAGGAAGCGCTGGGCCACACGTGCAATTGTGCTTTGGGGCACAATGCAATGCAGCCTGTTTGAGTGGCAGCAGAGGTTGAAGTCCAAGTCTTTACTTTAGGCCTAGTTTTGCGCTTGTTTTGCTGTTGTTCAGGGTAGCCTAGATTGAAGGTGTGGGAAATGGAAAATGGTTTCTCTTTAATTGGAGTGTATGTATGACATGCCAGCAGTCAGGTTTAGACATTTTCTGATTTTTTTACATGCCAAGCCCAAAATATTTGCCATCACTGACCTATACAATACACCCAGAGATAGTAGCAAAATACAGGCTATATTTCGTTTTAAAAGGTTTTAGCGGAACATCTTCCTGGAACATCAGAAATTGTGTTAAAACTATAGATAACCGCAGGGGGAATTACAGGAAATATACACAGGATGTTCTCTGTACCACATTCTTCCATTATAAAGTAAAAAGGTTGCTTCAGAGAAAGAGCTTGCTTAAGGAAAAGAATTCCTCATCACGTACAAATCCTGCCATCTATTGACAAATCTGTGCTGCATCATCCAAAGCCCACACACCAGCAGTCCCTTCTTTAGGACCAACCACCCCTCAGGATTTGCCCAATACAAATTACTGTATTTCTCAACTAAAGATTTTGTATTTTTCCCTCCTCCAATCAACCAACTATTTCTGCTTTTTATGGACTGCTCAAAATTTTGCTACCTCACTTTCTCAGTCACCTTTGTTTTGAGAACTTCATCCTACAAATACACACTTGCTTTTTTTTTTTTTTTTTGAAGTCATTTTTCACACCACTTTTAAAATAATTTTGGCTTGTAGAGTCAAGAACACAGTGTGACTGTTGCCGGGCATAGCAATACCACTTTATTTCCTTATTTAAGTTCTTTCATTGGTTTTTGCCAATACATGTTCTTGTTTCTGCACAACAGCACCAGGATTTGGAAGGGCAAGACAGAAGATGGTACCATCGTTTTCCTCTGATCGCTTTCGTAAAGTTGGCAAAAATGCTCTGCAAAATAAAACATGTTGCTTCCTCTTCATCTTAAACCTCTGCCAAGGAAGTGTACCTTCTGCCTTATCCTATCTTAAGGCCTTTCATCCAATCAAAGTTTTTGCTGCTATTTAATGGTGGATGTCCATACAGTAGCTGCCCTTGGAGTAGCAGTCCAATTTCTCTTCTGCAAGGAAATCATATTCGACGAGAGCCAGCAAAACTAGCAACAAGATCCATTTGTATTGGAACATATTTTAATCCAATTCATCTGCCTCTGATAACATCTTGGAGGAGATGGTCCAAGCTCTTCACTTTGATTCAGAAACTGGTAACTAAACTCCAAAGAGGGACCCAGCCTGGATTGTTTTGGTTTTTCACTTTCTTTCTTTTTTTTGATAATCCATGTATAGGGAAAACATATAGATTAAAAAAATTCCAAAAGGAATGCAATGTCTATCTGGAGAAGTTTTCCACAACATCAGAAGGAGGCTTATAAAAAACATCAATATAGATTGGTACCTGAAAACTAGCTCTGATTCTTGTAGTCAATTTGAATTGCTAATCCTTCTGGAAGTAACAAGTATGGGGTGTGTGTTTTTCATGTTACAAATTCAACAAACTGGGATACAAGAAACACTTTTTAAAAAAACTGGTCTGCTCAGAAAAGCAAAGTGTGTAAACTTGGATTGCTCAGCTGTTATTCTGGTTATCAGTGCTGCTGGTTACTCTCATTCGAAGTGGAAAAGAGAAAGACAGCAGACTTGGCTTGTCATTCTACAATTGGTTTGTAATGGCATCGTGTTTCTCGGAATGATAGAACTGTTCTGCCAACTCAGGCTGGTTTCTTTAGTTTGTCTATAGCAAGAAAGCTTTCCTTCAACTGCTGTTGCTGCTTCTGTTTCCTTTTCTTTATATCCCGATAAGCCTGGACAACCCGTTCTCTCTCCTCTTGAACGATCCTTTGGCGAGCGAGAGAGGCATGGACTGATTTTTTAACACTGGCCTTTCTGCCAGAGCCCAAAAGAGACGTTAGCAGAAGTTGCTGCCTTTGATCACCCTGGAAGAACAGAAAAATTAGCTGAAGAATCATGAAGAGGAAAAGTGGATATGGGTTTAATCTGAGAGCAAACCTGAAGAGAATCAGCTTTAAGGAGAGGATGTCTAAAATATAAAACCCTAGGCATAGTTAGCTTAACATAACACAGTTAAATACCAGCCAGTAACCTATTCTGAGCCTTGCTGCTGATTAGATAAATTCCTTCCACAGCAAAAATAGAGGCTTGCATGGCCACTGGCAAAATTAGAAAAGAGAAGTAAAACTTTGCTCAATAAAATGATGTACCTTGTCTTTGATAACACTCTTCCTGGGTTTCGCTGTAAGTGTGGGAGGCTGTAGAGCAACTTCTCCAAATTTTACTGAGTCTAAAAGGGAATGGAAAGAAGGCAAAAGGGAATGGAAAAAAATCTGATAATTACAAAGACAATTCCAAAATAATTCAACATGCTTCTTTCATTTTTTTTCTCACAATCAAGCAAATTTAAGCCAGAAATCTTCTAACCACAGCCACCTGACATAAGGATTGTATTTATTTAAAATATTGTTATGGCCGACCATGTTTTACAATAACCACAGGCAGCTAATAACAATAAAAGCTAAAGCAAATACTGCTACTTTATTGCTTGGTTGAACAAATTTATATAGCCACCCAACTCACAAACAATGGTTCCTGGAAGTGTACAACATTACAAATCCAGTTAAATAAAATCTATATTATACCTGCCACCCCCGCATCCCAAAATCAGACCATGAAACTTGTGTTGTGATATCACAGTACCCGACCTTTGCGCTTGGGTCACAATGTTTTATTATGTGCTTTGTTCTCATAGATTCTATGATTCCCAGTGACCAACTTGTGACTCCATTATCCACTATAAGATCTCTCTTTCATATTGTGCTTTGAAACAAAAGTTGAGCCGGATTGAAACAAAGAGAAACAAAAAGGAATCAAGCGGTCCCATGCCTTCCATACCACCATTCCATTCTGCAATAAGCGAATTTACCAAGCTCCGATACCGATGCAACTGTTTCTTATCTCAGACATCAGCTAAACATAAATCTCTCTCCTAAAAGGAACTTGGTTGCTTTTAACGAAGTGTCAAAATCCACAGCACTAACTTTGAAAGTGATGCAGAAGCGAGCATATTCTGCAAGAGTGGTATTCTGGCAAGATTAGGCTGATAACCACCTGAAGCACACTAGTGGTTCATTAAAAAGTTTATTCCCCTTTCAGACAAATTACAAGAAGTGGTTTGCTACATAAGCTGCTTCTGCTCTTCCAGCCATACGCAGTGCTTATGATGTGCAGCTCCCTTGATCTGCAGGAACTTTGATTGGAATAGATTTTGATTCAGCTGTCCATTTTTTGAGGGGGACAAAAGCAAAAGGATTCAGACTCTTACCAAATAATCAAATCAACCTTATTGTCTAAAGCTAAGGACTGGTACTAAGCCCAACAGCCATGGCTTTTTTCTGGCTTGCTTTATTGTGTAATGCTAGATACCGTAATTTATAAACCATGGCTTTTAGTTTAGCATGCTGGGCAGACTCAGTCAATGGCTGTTTATTCAACACGCCATTTAAACCATTTGTCTACTGCAATTTGCAAACCTAATATTGTTATTCATTTATATCCTGCCTTTATTATTTTTATAAAGAACTCAAGGTAGGAAACACCCACAATATTCCTTCCTCCTCCTACTTTCCCCACAGCACCTGTAGGATGAATTGGGCTGAGAGAAAGTGACTGGCCCAAAATCACCCAGACATCCCTCATGCCTAAGGGGGGACTGCTTTCTAGCCTGGTGCCTTAACCATTATTTTCTTGACTCTTGTATCTTTTCTTTTATGTATACTGAGAGTATCTGCACCAAGACAAATTCCTTGTGTGTCCAATCATACCTGGCCAATAAAGAATTCTATTCTATTAGTCCAAACTGGCTCTAGAATATATCAGAATTTTGACAGTATTTCCCATATGCAGCCATTCACATACAGGCTACAGCATTTCCTGAGAAAAGCTCCACATCTGCTTATCACAATTAACCACATTGAAGGCTTTAAATGCTTTGTGACCCTACTTCTTGAAGTAGCTGTCCATAACATCATGATCATGCATTAAACTCTTCAGAGAAAGTCTCTCTAAATGCTAACGGGACAGATTCGTTACAAAAGCCTTTTTTGCAACGGTGCCCATGCTTTGGAAAGCCCTCTGGAACAGGTCTCATTTAATATCAGTTTTATTTTCTTCTTGATTCCACATCAAACGCTCCATATTTTTGTTTCTTGCTTGGGCGAATCATTATGAAACTTCTTTACTTTATTATTAATCTTTCTTTAAATCTTTGTATGTGGCTGCCACACTAGGGTTGCTTATGGATGTGGAATAGTAAATAGATATTTCATAAGACTGCATCATATAGATAAACTAAATATAACCCCATCCTATGCTAACAGCCTTCCTCTCTATATGGAAATCAGATTATCTAAGTCACTGGGTTGCTGCAAAACAAGTTCAGGGGCTTATCTATATGAAGTGCTACCCAAAACTTACAGGAAAAAATTGGTAGCCAGATGGAGAATTTGTTAGAGGGGCTTGGTATGGATGTCTAAATTGTTGCGTTTTTGTTTTGTTTTTGGCTTTTTTATTTGTGTGTGTGTGTGTGTGTGTGTGTGTGTACCTAGCTCCTCACCCAAACTTTTGATAGGGTAGCTGAAATCCCTTTGAGTTGGGCGTGTATGTTTTCGTTGTTGCCTGGCTTGTTTTATTCCTTTGTTCTTATTGTTATAGTACTTTTTTTACTTCACAGACTGCCCAAAATTGCTGGGATTTGGGCTTCGTACTAAATTATCAACCAAATAAATAAATATTGAAGGAGAAGCTTTTAAAAAATCAATGCAGTAGTATCCACAATGATGCAAAAATATTACAAGGCGGTAGCAGTATTTTCTGGGCAAACTATTACCCTACCTTTGAAAAGGTCCTTCTCCAACATGGTTATTTTTTTCTCTGTTTTTTGCTTAAGTATTTTTTCCAGCCTCTTCTTCTGAAATCTAGAGAAACAGGCTTTGTTAAACAAAGGATACACACATTTCAGAGCTGTCCATGGCATGTCAAGAAAGAATCTTTCACAAATTCAGAGACTTAGAAATAAAGAAGCCACAAAGGTCCTATACAGAAATAAGAACCAATGTATCCTCTAACCAATAAAGGATGTTACACTAAACATATACACTTGGAACAACTTTTAAGTTCCCTTGCAGTTTGTAGGGAGTAGTACGGTCTTAACTGACACAGAATCAAGCAGAAGAACAAGATTCCAGACAGAAAGGAATTGCTACTATTAACCAAAAGAACAGAGCTGAGTTAAGGCATAGAAGAGGAAGAAATATTATTATTATTAACTAATTCATTTCCTCCTCTCCTAAACAGAACATCTTACACATTACTTCTGGGATTAATTCTACAGTTGGTGAGCAGAGGTCAGTAATAACCTTTTAAGGCCTAATGGCTAGAGAGATTGACAGTGGCTTGGGAAAATCTTCTATTCAGTCAAAACATACTAGCCAAAAAGTTAACTTTATGGAATTATTGTGAGGGTGAAATAAGGAAAACTGGGTTATTAATGAAATTCATCTCAAGAATCAGGCTTTCAGATTGTAGCACCACCCTAATTCAAGGGCTGAAAATTCAAACTTAACTCTTTCTTCTTCTGTGACTTTTCTTGGACTTGTATCTCTTTTTCAGGCTCACGTTGCATCTGGTTTTCAGTGAGGAAGCGCACGTGCTCAATTTCCCGGTCCATGCGTTTATTGTATGAGTTTTCTGTCTCCCCTCGCCGTCTCCTGAACTTCGGTACTGGTATGTCACCCTCTGACTGAGGCCTCTGCTTATTTGCTGTGACAAAAAACATGGATGTTATAATCTGCCCAACAGCTTTCATGGAGATTGTAGGAAACGGATAGAGCCCTAACCTAGTCACTCTGCAAAGTACCGATCCCTAGCTGAGCAAATAAGAGTTATCTGACAACGAAGTAACCTAACATTTAAAAGCAATTTTTTTAGGATCTGTAGGAAAAAGGTCTACAGCTCTGACAGCTCTTCCATTGCCCCACTATCCTGTCAGAGCTGAAGAAGCTTCTTGGATGAGAAGTGAAATGTCTTCAAAAGAAAAAACAAGTCCAGTTGCCTCCTGAGAAAAAGCACCTTTGGGACTATGCTGGAGCATATTCTAGAGTCTTTCTATATTTTCTTTTCCAAAGCATTGATAAATCATTCCACTCATTTTCGGTGCCATAACAGAGAGCTTATGGGGAAGGACCAAAAAAGAGAGTGGGGAATCCTATGCAGCTCTGGGGTTCCAGATTCTTCCATCCTTCTGATAAAGAACCTCTTATAAGGCAGACTGCCTCAAAGTAGTACCATCCAGGAGAGTTTGTCAAGATGACACTTCCCAAGAATTTCTGGCTAGTTGCTGGAACATATAGCAATAGCATTTAGGCTTATACACCGCTTTATAGTGCTTTACAGCCCTCTCTAAGCAGTTTACAGAGTTAGCATATTGCCCCCAACAATCTGAGTCCTCATTTTATCCACCTCGGAAGGATGGAAGGCTGAGTCAACCTTGAGCCTGGTGAGAATCGATCTCCCAAATTGCAGGCAGCCGGCAGTCAGCAGAAATAGTTTGCAGTATTGCACTCTAACCACTGCACCACTGAGGCTCATATATTTTGAATATAAAATCATAAAGCTGCTTTTTACCAGTTTTCTTTTTCTTCTTCTTGCGGGTAGGGTTTTTGAGATCATCCCGGCTCCTCATGATTTCCCGCAACCGATATGGAATTTCTTGCTCATTCAGGCAATCTGGTTTTGAATTTGCTTTTTTCTTCATATGGCTAAAATTAAAACAAGAGAAATGTTAGTAAGGCAATCATCATCATCATCTATAACTTGTACAACCTAACCTAGAAGAACCTCTTTATGACAGAAGTATTTGTGTCACATTTTCGTATCTTGCTCTGTAACAGAATTTCAACAACCTCATTAGTAGAATGAATGAGAAGCTGCTGGAAGCACCTATATTAGTCTGAATTAGTACCATAGCCAGCCCTATATTTAAAGTGGTCTTTCAGTGTTCATCAGAGGTGTTCTTCCTTCATCGCCTTTTGGGTGCCATCCATATCCTAGTAGTAGAAAATCATGTTAATCTACCATAACTTTAAATAATTGTTAATAACATATTTTTCTCCACAATGGAAAGAATATGTCATAAATGCGATATCTTGTTGCTACTACTTACAATCTAATTCAGTACTCCCCATTTTCACAATGGGTTTATCACAAGTATCTGAAAGGCATGTAGTGGCACATCTCTTTGATCTCTGGCATCATAACAGTTACATAATGAGCCACACTCCTAATTGAATCCACCCTTCAGCATAAAACTGAAGAAACCTGTAAGCATTTCCACTGTTAGTGCTGGGAAAAGAGACCTAACCTAAAACAATCTTAATACTGCTGGCCAATAAGTAGGATAAATTATAGCTACTTTCCATAGATTATGATGGAGTAGACTACAGTTCATAGGCATTATGGCATTGGAAAGATGAAAAATGCTAGTAAGGAAGAGGTTTTATTATTTTGGTTGGTTGCATAGTCCACCAGATGTTTAGATGGGATTTGGCAGTTTTATCCAACTATTGAGTCTTTCCCAAGACCATGGGATAGGCAATGTCACTGCTTGATAATGACAAAGTATCATCCCAGGATGTAGATTGTTCCAAATAAAGCTGCCTTTTGAAATCAACTGATGGGGATTTTCTCAATGCCAATGGTGTTCCAGGGATGCTCCATATGTTTTGGGATTGCACCTAAGGCACTTATTACTATTTGTACTATCTTTGCTTTCTCTTGCCAGTCATTCCACTTCTATTTGCAGATCTATTACCCAGACTTTTTTTTGCCTTTCTTATTGACAATTGCTGAATCTGGGGGGTTATGTAGCAAGTGTTTATCTATGTGCATTTTAAATTTCTAGAACACTTTTAGCTTCTTAATTTTCTTTACTCTGTCTGTTTTGGGTTCTCTCTGGTTCACGCATGGAGGCAAAGGATATTTTTTGCAGATATCATTATTCCATTTTCATCCAACCAACCATCCATACACACACACACACACAGAGTGTGTCTGTCTACAGATATAGATACACACACGTGTGCATGTGTGTGTGTTTGTGTATGTGTGTAAAACTCAAGATAGCATCCTTACCTAATATTCCTGCCTATTTTCCCTACAACAACCGGGTGAGTTGGGGCAAGAGAGAGAATGGAGTCTGAGTAAAGAATAAACACGTGCAGAATCAAGCAGTAGCCAGTCAAAATCCCAATTAGTTCTACATTCACTGGGCACCCTCAAACAAGCTGCTGTTACGATTGAGTGATAAGTAAGTTAAGATGGGAATAAAACTGGTCAATCCTACAAGGTTGTTTTACCTGTCACTGACACAGAGTAAGCAAAGCGCTTTGAAATTGCACACACACAAAAACAGCTCACCAGAGGGATACAGACCTACCACGGGCGAGAAGCCCCTTCCGCGGAGCAGCGGAAGCCACAGCAACTTTCTTCTCTTTTTTGCCCATCGCTGCACCCACGTGCCACAGTCGCTTCCCATTTCAGTCTTCTCTTGCTTACGCACTCTATTCCCCGCCTTCTTCCGGGGGGTGGGATTTCCCCGTCCATCAGCGCTCTCCGATTGGTGAAACTTGCCACTTATATCGGAAGTTAGAGCAGAATCGGGATTGCTATTGGGCAAGGGAGATGTTAATTCCCGGCAGGCGGCGAAGGGGACAGGGTTGCCTAAAGGCGACCGGAGAGATGTTGCCTTTGGGGGTTTTCTGCTGCCGTCGGGGGTTGGTGAGCACTTTTGGTACATCAGAAGCAGGTCAGGTGAGAAGTTTACCCAGGAGAATTAATAGGTAAAAATCACAGTTTTAGCTGCATTCACACAAAATGCTAAGGGCGGGTTGCTTGTTTACCTAATAAACCAAAGTGGTACATTTTCAATTAAACAACCTTTATTGGGTTTATTCTGTTTCAACCACTATTACGATTTAAATGTCTGGTCTCGGCAATGTTTATTTGGAAGGCAGTCAAGCTATCTTCAGCTTAACAGCCCGAGGATCAAAAAGTGCTGTGAAATAGCCCTAATGATGAAGGGCTCCTCGTGTTGATCCTGCCCCAAACTCTCCTTTAAATTCTTTTTTAAATGGTTAAAACATCATTTCTGATTCAGCTGCCCTTTGAAATTAGCATCTTTATTAGAATTCAGTATTAAAATAATGATTATGTTTCCAAGATCTTCAGATTCTCTTATTAGTGCTGGATATTCAGCAAAGGGGAATTATCTTGGTATCACAATCACAAAGAGTGCCAAAAATTGCTTTCTAGGTCGTTTCTAGAATAGGACTAGACAACTAGATGTCTTCCTGATGTGTTGGATGTTAATTCTTGTCAGTCCCAGCCAACAAAGGCAGCGGAAAGGGATTTATACTCCAATATCTTGAGCTATCTGGATACACCAGGTTGGAAGCTACTTGCTATCATGGTTTCAGGATTGAGAAAGAACTGTTCAATATTCAATAAGCTATTTTATGAAACTGTAAAACTGGCAATTATTCCATAGGTTCCTTCTGAGAGAACAGAAATAAGGAGAAATGGGGCATTAATATATGATGAGATTAATTTTAGAGTATGTATTAATTTAAATAACACTTGTATTGGTGCATAAGAAAAAAATCCCAAAACCACATTCCAATCAAATATTACCATGAATCAAAACATCTCACAAATTATTGTGGCATCCTTGACATATTTTCTTTTGGGTCATTTGTTTTGATTTTTCAGTGCCTAAGACAAGTAGTAATAACAACTATATAAATTTGTTCCATTTCCTATCTCTCTTTAGATATCATATGCCCTTAATTTAATTATTCGTTATATATACTTATGTGAAACTTTCTGATACTGCTAATTTAATTCACATCTGAAGAGGGCTGTGCAAATTTGTGGACAATATCAGTGGGTGATAGTTAGAATGGCTATAGACTTTCTCTAGGATCAGAATGGAACTCTGCTAAGTACCATTCACCAGAGGACAGGAAAGGAACAATAGTTTTGCCTTCCAGCTAATTTGGCCTTTGTGGGGAATAAATACTGGGCTAAGGAATCAATAAAATCCTCTCAGCTGCGTCTGTCAGCTTAGTTTATTTAATTTATACCCCATCTTTATTATTTTTTATAAATAACAAGGTGGAAAACATATACAACACATTTCCCTCTTCCTATTTTTCCTACAACTGTGTGAGGTGGGTTGGGCTAAGAGAGGGTAACTGGCCCAGAGTCACATAAAATGAGGCCATCCAGAGTTTTTCCTGAACTAGATTGTAACATGCATTAAAATCTATATTGAAGAAAACACTACTCAAAATATATTCTGGAATAAATACTAGCATTCTAATACTATACATTGCTTATAGTATCCATTTAATAATTCATTTCAAAGTCAACTTTCTCATACCAGGTCAAAATGTTTTTAAACCTGAATCTATTTAAATGCATAGTTTTTAACATTCTATGCAAAAGGTCACACATTAGAAAGAGTTGGAATCTCACCAGAACGTGGTTGATTTTTGTTTTCAGAGCATCGTCAAGAGAGTGAAATGCTGTTTTTTACGTATTGAAAGTCACAAGTAGAACGTAACCCAAATCTTATAGGCATGACATATTGTCTGGATAAATAAGTGAAATTCTGTAGGTCGTATCTTTGCTTGGTTATATTTCAAAGATGGGTTGGATGTCCTGGAAATAAGAGAGAAGAGGGATATAGATGTATTGGGGATTTAATTTTGTTTTTGTTCTTACCAGAAGTATATATATCTGTTTTGGGGCCTTGAGGCTAATGATACAACAACGCTGGCCCTGTTGAAAAGATCCTGCCATGGGAAGTTAGTAAATATAGGCTGGCTCCCTGCAGCATTATTAAGCGGTGGACAGCGTCGCTTCTGTGCAGATGCAGAGAGCCGCAACCAAAAGGCTCCTTCCCTGAAGGATAAATCGTGTTCCGAGAAGGAAGCTGCTTCTTCGGAGTCCTGTTTTGCCACCCCACCGCTTGTCCCTCCCACAACATGTTGTATGAGTGGATGCCACAACTGTGTCTGGATTGCTTATGCAGAAGAGCTTCTAAAATACTACAAGGATGGTGGCGAGCAGGCTTTGGCGGCTGTGGAGAAAGATATAGAGGATGAAAATATTAAAATGTTCCTGAAGATGGAAATTAAGTTCCGTATGAAGAAAGACTGACATTTTTGACCTGATGAACATGGTATTGCATGGTTTCGGACTTTAGGAGATGTTGAAGAGGAAAAGCTAATTATCTATGGTTCCTTCTGTAAGAGATTATATATTTTATTTTACATAAAAAGTTCTAATGACTGTACATCTATTATTGCACGACTGTCTTCTTTTAAAATTTCATCTTCTTAAACCAGAGGGATGATATTTGGGATGATCTACTATTTTCATTAACTGGGTTTGTGCTTCACATGCTTTCGGAATGTCACAGTGATCTCATGGGTAGTATTGCAGCAAAGGAGTCCCTGATTTAAGTGGGCAGCTAGAAAGATCCCTTCTTCGTCAATAAACATGGGCCAAATTTCAATCCCAACATCTTTTAGTAGAAAAGTAGGATCACTCACTGCAATGAACCAATATCCTTTTCAGCGTAATTGCTGAACAAGCTGTAATGTGTTTATAGATAACCCTAAGGCTTAAAGGTTGGGTTCATACATTATGCTAAGCTAAAAAATAAACAGGCCGCATTGTGGTCTTGCATCAGACATACAAGATATTCCCAGGAGATTTATTTATATATTGACCAGATCTAGCTTTATGTTTGTTAGTGTATCTTTGCATTCAGATCACAGCCCAGGATAACTCCTTTAGGATCCGTTAATGTCCTTTCCCCATCAGCTTACTGAAATGCAAAAACTCCTGGGCTAACTCTTAAGTCATTCTGAATAGCTATAAAATGCTTGCATTGCTGCTCTGTGGTAAAAAAAATAATAATCTGCTCCATCTGCCAGCAGGTATGATACTGCAGATTTGAAGGAAAGTATATTCTGAACTTTGCAATTTACCATGACACTAAATTCCATTGCAGAGCTGTCCCTCTAGCTCACAGGAAGACCGCAACAGACCAGCTGGCAGACTGGATGGCCCATGAGGAGCCAGTCTGGCCTCATCTATCATCTAGGGAAGAATCTATTATTCCATTCTCTTTCCTCTTTTCCATCATTTCTGTTAGAGTCTGAAAACAGGAGTAGGCTTGTTTTTCATATCTTCACAGCACTTAGAACGTTACAGATATTTTAGGTGAATAATAATGATTGTATACACTACATCTATGAATCAATTTGGTATAGGAATTAAAGCACCAGGCTATAAACCGGGTGGTTGTGAGTTCTAATGCTACCTTGGATTCAAAGCCAGCTGGATGACCATGGGCCAATCGGTATTTCTCTTAGCTTTAGGAAGAAGGCTTTGGCAAACCACTTTCAAAAATCCTTCCCAAGAAAACTGCAGGGACTAATCCAGGCAACCACGAAAGAGTCAGTAGTCATTCAAAGGCGCACACATAGTCACAAAGTACACTATGCACTACTACTTCCAGATGTTGGTTGTATTGGCCTGCTGTCATGTCTGAATGCAGCTATCTTCTGTATTTTATTTTTGCTTGGTATACTGTGCGCAAATCCATCATCTGCACTACTCTCCTCAAATCTTGATTTTTATTTTGATGTGGTATTAATGCAATGGCACTTTATAGAGCAATATTTATTTCCCATACATGCTGCCTTTTCTCCAAGTTAATAAGACCTCTGCACAGTATACAGACAAAGTTTGTACACCCACAGTAAGTGATAATGTGGTATTTGGTTTTTGCTAAGTACAATTTGTGGATCCAGCGCATTTGTTGTATGCCACTTCTGGTGTGATTGATAGAATAGAGTAGAACTCTTTATTGGACAAGTGTGATTTGACAAGGAATTTGTCTCCAGTGCATAAACTCTCATGTACATACAAACAAAGTAATATAGTAATTGGATGGATGGATGGATGGATGGATGGATGGATAGATAGATAGATAGATAGATAGATAGATAGATAGATAGATAGATAAGTATTTTAAGCATTTAGCATATTTGCAAACTTATCTATTTAATCAGTAAATCACGACTAAACAGTGAATCACAAACAGTTATGTTGGGAAGATTAGTCAAAGTAATTAAATTAAGCTCATCTGGTGAGCTTCACAGCTGAGCATGGAACTGAAGTGACCACAGAACTATGCATTACTGTATATTACACTCTAAATTTGTATTTATCTTGTGCTTTTGTTTTCTTTCACGGGTGTCAAACTCAATTTCATTGAGGGAGCATCAGGGTTGTGTTTAACCTTGGAGGCAGGTTGGGCGTGGCCAGGGTGGGCGTGGCCAGCTTGACATCACTCGTGTCAGGGCGCCTGTGGCCCAAGCACTCTGCCAGAGAAACTGCCTGAGTTCCATTTTCAGCTGGGATGGCCTCTTGCAACCCTCTGCCAGCAAAAACGCAGCTCATGAGGGCCATGGTTTTGCTGGTAGAGGCACCATGG